GATAAGGGCAGTTTAACAGAACAGCAAACAGAGGGAACAGCAACAACAACGATACAGATAAGGAGAAAAAACAACAACAAACCGTACGACCCAGACAGCTGCTCTCCCGAAACAGGACTGGCGCCGCGCCCCCCCAAGCTGCGAGTGCGGTCCTGCCACGCCACCCCCCCCACCGGAACCCAGCGTGACGTCACATGGTATGGAACACCGGGCTCTGTTTGGCCAGGTGGGGTCAGCCCCCACCCCCCGGCTGTGCCCCTTCCTGGAGTCCGGTGAAAATTAACCCTGTCCTGGCCAAACCCAGGACACCAGGTAAGCTCAGCCTGGACTGCTGGGTGCAGGCTGTGAAAACTCCCACCTTGCGGAGCAGAACCTGTTCCAGCCTCAGTAAGAACGATGGTGCTGGGTCACCCCGCAAGAGTTCGGCGCAACAGAGCAGACATTGTTGGTTCTGAGTAGTAGCTCTATAGGAGATGTCAAGTATTTACACAACAGCGAGTCACGCTGGGTATAAACATTACCATAAAATGCTATTGCTTCATGATTCATTGACTGACATTACATGGGATGCAGTCAGGGCGCCAAGTGCACCCACAGGCTCTGCAAGCTCCGGTCCCAGGTGTGCGAGTGCCAGGACTCAAGATCAGCTCTGACTCAGCAAGGCTGGGTAACCTGGGAGTTCACTCACCCTTGGGGCTCGGTGGAGTGTCTGGGTGCTGTCTGGCACCTTGCTGGTCCCAGCCTGCTGACCTGACATTGGACCTTCCTCCTCATCATGGACTTGCTTGGCCATTGCCGAGCCGTAGCTGACCCTGGCTACCATCACGGGACCTGCGCTGCTTTTCTTGCTCATCCCCTGCAGGGCAGGTCACCATCCCCCATCTCCGTGCCGTCACCCTGTGGGGTCCCAGCTCCCCTGGACCGCAGGCACCCAGGGCAGGGGCAGAGGCTGCAGAGCCTCTTGGTGCACTGAGGGCTCTGACAGACTGCACGAAACAGTTGTGGATTATGTAATAAGGATAGTAGGGCTTTTTAGTTTTAATTCTAGCTGGTTTTAATATGCAATACAGATTGTAACATTTAGCAAAGGGACATTTGGTCTAGAACCTCCTGAGGAACCTAGAACCTCAGGAGATGTACTGACTTCTTTTTTTCAAATGGCTGTTTTCCTTGACCCGTTTTAAATAACAATTAGTATTTATTCTTTTCTGACACAGAGAACCCACTCACCTGGCTTTTTATACCAAAAAGCATTATGAAGTTCTTAACTGAAGAGTAGTAATAGCAGAATCTCTTGAATAGATTCCTGCTCCATCGAGGAATTTTAAATCATCCATTGTATGCTTTGAGAGAATATATTATATACCACAGTAAAAAAAAAAATCCTGCTGTGAAGCAATGGGCAGTAGGAAGAAAACCAAGATTCTTGAGCTGATTTGTTATGAGTTCATTCTTACATGCATGACACATAAGTCCATGCATCCGTTCTTTCCCTGTATCTCTGCAGCAATCAGCGGGCCCTTCTCGCCATTCCAAAGCCACGATACTTGGAGCAACTGGAGTCCTACTTAAGGAGAGAGCTGCAGGCACTTGATCTGACTAAAAAGAACTCTCAAGAACTGAAGTTACAGGTCTGGTATAAGGCTGTCTTGACTTGAAACTACGTGCTGAGATGGATTACTTAAACTGGCCATCCAAAGGAAAAAGTGGATGAGAAGCGTAGGCACCTGTTGGTATCGGATGAGTGGGTTTGCAGCTCGTGTTCGAGAACTTGCACAGAAAGCAGTTCCTTTATGTGTTGGGTTGTTGTTTGCATGTTGGGTTTATACGTTGTTGGGTTGTTCACATCTTCTTGCGTACTCCGCATCTTCTAGAACTGTTTCCATTTTCAAATCAAAGCCCAAGTCATCAAAAATGGATATGAAACAGAATTCAGTCGCTAAACTCCTGAAGATTCCCGTGTAAACCCATAAAGCAGCAAGTGTGTAGGTTCCCAGATTTTCACTGCAAAACCTCTCATTTCCAAAGTTAGGCTTCTCCATGTGACAAGCAGGGGCTTTCTCATCTAGCTCTCACCAGTCTTCAGTTCAGAACACAGAGTAGGAGTGGGTACTCCTGGTTTTGTAATATCCTGCAGCTAGAGCATTTATGGAGACTGGGGGAAGCTTGGATTCAATTTTACCTGCACAAATTAATTCAAATTCTCTTTCCCAGAGGAATTCTGTAGTCGTGGGGAATCTCCAGGTTCTGCAAAGTGTGCCGCTGAATGTTTTCTCAAGCTCTCTTTCTTCTCTCAGCCCTACAGAGAGATCTTTGAATTCTTCATAGACAACTTCAAGACCTACAAGCCCTTGCTGTCAGCTGTAAAGAATGAAGTTACCTTGGGTAAGCTGCTGGACTTTGACCTGTGGGGGGAAAACACTACTGGAGACTTGTTCTGACAGAGCTCAGTTGTGGTGGATACACACGTAGGATGAACAGCCTAAACAGATGTCAACTGATAAAACCATCTTCCTGGTCCCTTAGCTCTGTTTCCTTCATTTGCAAGATGAAGTTCTTGCAGGCCTTTTTTCCTATAATATTTTAGATTTTTTGATTTCTATTTAAGAGTTTTAGCTTTTTTAAATCTTCATCACATACGCGGTTCAGGCAGCAGCAGCATCTCGAGGTTTTTCTGGGACAATCGCATTTAGAGGGCAGCGTACGGTGCCAATGTGTTTGGATGTGCTTGCTCTAGTAACCTGAAGCTTGAATTGCCCCTGATGCCAGGCGGGGCGGAGAGCTGAACTGGCTGTTCCCTGGCCGTTCTCGACATGCTTTGAACTCTGCTCGGCACATTGATGCCGCAGTGACACCAGTACTTTGTCAACAGTCGCAGAGGGCTAGAAATAGGCTGTAACCAGGTGCTCACTACACACTGGGCTATCGGGTGTCAGCAGTCTGCTACTGGGACAGCCTCTTAAAGGATATATATTGTTTATCCCAGTACCTGTTACCTGGACAACCTAATCACAGGCCCTCACTACAGACAAAAATCTTTCTTTGCACACTATCCTTCAAGCAGGTGAATAAGTCAATTTTAATCACTATATAACTTTTTTTTTTTTTAAATCTGTTTCCTTCCAGAACTCTTTAGCAAACATTTCTTTGATTCAGCTCCCAGAGAGGTTACTGGTGCCCACCCTGTAGCTGACATTGTACTGCTTTCTGAAGCCTTTTTTTTTTTTTCCCCCAAGCATTTATTTACTGACTCCTCCATATTGCTTGGATACAATATCTCCCTTTTTTTCTCTGAAGTCCCAGGACACCCAGCAGAACCTATCTTTTATGATAGCTTTATTTTTGGAAATGGGCTGAATGCCAATGAACAGATATGCCACGGTAGCAAATGTACTTGAAGCTCTAAGAATAAACCAAATGGAATATCTTTTTGGTTTTTAAGCTGGATTAGGATCCTCCCACCTTTCTGTATATTGAGGACTCATTTTCTGAATTACAGATTTTACCTTGCTAATGAGGCCTGCGTGACATCCACCCCCTTCCAGCTAGGGGTATTGGATGGGGTTATCAGTAATTAATTCCCCGGCCGCTTTCTCCCTGCCTAGCAGAGACCCCAGCTTACCTGCCAGGGCAGGGAAGCAGTGATCTAACCCCAGCGCTCGTGGCCTCGGGAACAAGGAGGTCGCGGTCTCCGGTCCCGCCGGTGCCTCGGACACACCAGCTCTGCCGCTCACTGGACTCCTCTGCCAGCCCAGCTGGCTCACCCGGCAGGAAAAGGCAAAGACCACGAGCCGCAAAGTTTCCTGTTGGTTTAGGGAGCTGAATTGCTCAAGAAAGCATTTGAACTAGGGAAGAGACAAAAGCAAGCGTTTGAGAGCAACAGGAGTATGAAAGAAAGAGAAAATGAAGGAAATGTACAGATTTGTAGAACAGCGCTCCTAAGTATTTATCTTCCTTCTTAAATTATGTCTGACTGTGCTAAACATAAACAACTTTTTTAAAAAAATCCGTGAGAGGTGGCCGTTCTGAGGGCTCCTAACATCAGAATTTTAGATTCTCTTTGTAGTCCCTCACTACAGTGCTCGGAGTCTTAAGGTGCGGCTTTGGAGCTGATGAACGAGGCAGTTTGCTTCGGCAGAGGTCTCATCACTCCACCGAACATGCATACGCTATCATTTCAGCTCCTTTTGGAACTGAAAATAAACCTCCTTTACACCGCAGCATCATATTTCTCAGCCAAATGGGTATTATCTTCGTAGTCTGATTTAGCAGCTTTGTCCTCCTCTGTTTTTTCTGCCCTAGGCATGTATCCTGTACTAGCTTAGCCTCTGTGACGTCTAAGGTGTTCACCACTGCACGCACTGCCGGGACAGGTTCTCCCCTTAAATCTGCTAGGATTACAACATATTCCCAGTTCAGTCAGAATAATCTGGGTTTTTTTTAAAAAAAAAGTATTATTAAATGTTGTCCTAAAACTGTACTGCTTACACTGGCTATTTAGCTTTGCCTTCTGCCAGATCTGGACACACAGCTGTAGCTCCTTTGGGTGCTAAGGTTGTGCTGAGCCAGCACCCAGGCTTGATGGCATTGGTTCTGGAGTAAACCCACATGAATGTGATGGTGCTAAGCAGAATTTGGAACGCAGCACCGTGGAGGAGAGGGCCATCAAAGCCCTACAGCTGTCAGCTTGGCCCGAGATAAAGGTGGTGTTGCTGAGTGACAGGCTTGGTCTTCATGGTGACCACAGCTGAATCCAGGTTTTCATTAAAATTATACTTGGGTCACTACGTCCGCAGGGCCTTCACATCCACTGCTTTGCGGTGCTAAAGCTGCCGGCTCCATCCAGCAATTCTGCATGTACAACGAGCTGCACTGCCACCTGAAATCTTCCCAAGAGGCAGAACGTCTGTCATTTCATGGCATGGGGAGAGTTACAAGAGAGCTGATGTCCTCAGGAGGTGCTGGCCAGTGTCCACGCTACAGAGTAATCACTCTGGCAGTCAACAACTTGTGCTCTTAACTTCTGACACACTGGGCGGCTCCAATTAAAGTACTGATGCACCTACTTTACAGGGGTTTGCTTGAGGTCAGGAGTCAGTTGTGAAACGCTCAAAGTATGCCTTGAAACAAGTCTGCTGAAGCTTTAACGTGGTCACATCGAGCAGCCAGACCACCCTGCGGCACAATCCCTGTGCTAACGCTCTAATTTTTGCCGTCTCTTGTCCCGATACAAGTGTCATAGTGAAAGAGATTTGCAAAACCTTTGGGACAGTTGTAGCGTGGGAAGGAAATTCACACTCAGGTATAACAAGAAAAGTAGTTCCTGTTCTTAGGTTGATGTGCAGGTTTTAACTTTTAGAATGCAAAATCTGTTGCATAGTATTTGTACATAAACACTAATACCAGGTTTTACTGAGGAGGAAAGAACCTCCAAGCCAGAGAATTCAGCATCCACCAGCATTTCTATCCTTCTGCTCAGGAGAGCGAGTGAACAGTTTTGACTGCTGAATAATGCAGTTATTCAAAACCAAAATGAAGCTTGCTCACAGCCTCATTTGAATCACACCCTATCCTGGCTTTGGTCATTTTATTCTCCTGATGGAATTCCATCTAGTCTTAGAAACAAGCCTCCATACCAAGGAGGTGACATCAGAACAAATTCTGCCATGTAACCTTAACTCGGGTGTGGGGCCCGAGTCAAGCACTGCCACTAGATTCCTCAGGCAAGTACCTTTAAGAAAAATTTTCAAGTCAAAGGGGAAATAGCTGGGAGTGAAAAGCACACGCGACAGCTGAGAAAGCCAAGCAGAGCAGATGGGTTCTGTACTAGCTGTAATGGAGAGAAAGGCAGAAGAAGATAGGTCAAGGCAGACCTAAAAAGAGGGGAGAGGGGGTAGACACCAAACTTGTATACAAAATGTTGCGTGAGACTGTGCATTTGGACGCAAGAAGGCAGATCGAAGTTCATTAAGACTGTGCCTTCCCAAAAGAGGGTATATTGCTAATTGCCAGCTGTCGTTAGCCCCATATGCTGCCTGTGCTTAGATGGTGACACCTTCCCACCTAGGGACAGACGACGACAAAATAAAATACCGTTCATCCTTTGTTTTCCAAACCAGGATAAATAGCATGAGCTGAAATCAGAAATCCTTGTGAAGTTCACGTGCATGGCTGGATAAACAAGGGGATACAGTCCCAAAAGACACTGCTCCCCATCCTTAGGCACTCACCAGGCCAAGCAGTTAAAGCTCCGTCTTCAGTCCCACTTCCCACCAGCACTGTCTTGGCACTGACTATCCAACGGCCCAGCAGAGTAAAATTCCAGCTTTCTTGCTCATTGTGAGATGCCACCTCTCTTCCTCCAGCTCATCAGAAGACGACAATTCGTGCCCTAGAGCCCCTGAAGGCTATGGTCACAACTGTCTCCGAGGAGTGCACCCGGCAGATACTGGCACTGCAGGAGAAGGAGAAAGAGGAGATAAATATGTTAAAGCAAGAGAAACAGCGTTTGTTAAAGTTCATTGACAACATGAAGGAAGAAAAAAATTCTCTTCAGACTCAGGTAAATTATACAACGTTGAGTCAAGTGTTTCCCAATGCATTGCGTACATCTGGTCTCTCACCTCCCAGCCGCTCGCCCTTCAGTGCCAGCAGATGCTCTGGAGCAGGCCCTGGGCACGTGGCACAGCAGTGAAGCAGCATCTTGGCCAGCTCTGCCGCTGGCAGAAGTCTTCGCTTGTGTCTCTTGTCCCATCTGGCTCTTCCAGTGTCACATCTGACAGGGGGAGGAAATAAGTATCTTCCTGGTACTGATGTTTGAAGTTCTTATATAAAAGTACATGTGCTCTTTTACAACATTGTACCCTTAGCATCTTTATATTCGTATCATTCATCTTAAATGCTGGAACTCAGATCAAGAATCATGGACACAATTCACTCTCTAGAAGGCTAAAACTCAGGTGGAGCCCCCTTTGGCACACTAATTCCGAGTTTGAACCCATCATATTTCTACCTGGCCCTTCCGTTTCCTTAATTTCTGCTCTAGACCCACCAAACCAGTCCGAGAGTTCCCACTGATGCCATGCTCCTGACCAGTTCGAGCCTCTGTTTGCTGCAGGTGGAACATCTGCAGACAAGCGTGGCTGAGGAGTATGCTCGCTATCTCAATGAGTACGGCGCCCGCAAACTGCTCCTGGCAAAACTGAATGACACACATAACGAACGGCTAGACATGGCACATCACCAAGGTAGAGAGAGCGGATCTCGGCAAGAACCCGTCCTGCACAGAGACCCAAATACACACCCATGGGTGCAGGGCTGCAGGAAATACTCAGAGTATCTCTGAAATATGTTCAGACACGCTTTGATTCGTAAAAGAAGTCGGACAAATTCATGGCCAAAAAGTCTGTAGATGGGTAGGAAAAGGAATAGGTGGGGACGTACACAATAGTCTGATCTGATTCAGTAAGTTATTGCCTGTATTCTTGTACGCCCTTGCTTAGCCCGAGAGGTGAACTGAAGGCAAGAGCTGCCTAGCGCAAAGGTTCCTCATGGTTTCTGGCTCTGGTGCCAACTGTCAGCAAATCTTACCCAGCCACGGCCCGCAGCTTTGTGCCTGTCCACAAGGATGGGCAGAACTGCTGAAACCCAGGTGTCACAAAAACGGGGTACCATGGTTCCTCGGGCTGGAAGGGACTCTTTTGGTACGTCAGCTCTGTTGAGCCACGCTCTGGTTACAGGCACCCATAGTGCTACTGCTTGGTGCTCGCTGGCTGCAGGCATTGCGCCCGCCGATCCTTACCATTAATCAAAGCAAACCTGAGCCTTTGAATACGTATGTGTGCATGGGAGAGGGGGCAAGTCAGCGGGGGGGAAACGTGAACGCTGCAATATACTCCAGGACTTGCAGTTCTTTAGTAATAATGCAGTCTACACCCACGCAGCTCTCGCCAACGCTTTGTAAGGTTACGTGGTCTAAAAGCTTAACAAAAGTTTTAGAAAACTACAATTGCAATTTTACTGTCATGAGCGTTCATCAATGGCCATTGTTTAAAGATGTCAAGGGTGAAGACGTGGTGAAGTTAACTCTGGCATTAAAGATCGCTCGGCAGGACCTCACAAAAGCCCAGGTGAAGCTGAACACAATGATAGCAGACTACGGAGATGTTGTGCCCAGGAGAGATTTTGAATCGCTGGAGAAAAAGTACTCTGAATTACTTCAGGAGGTGAGCATACGCTCCTAATTTTCAATCTGTACTACATAAACGCAAACATAACGTGAAGCTTCAGGATTCAGGTTGGGAGAGGAACTCCGTAAACCCAGAGCTCACATAAGGGCATTTCTTTGTTCTTTGTACATGAAATACATCAAAAGCCGCTGTCTTCTAATCCACAAACCCTCTGTGTGATGGCACCTCAGACTGTCAGAGCACTCAGACTTAGTGTCCCGTCACAAAGCCTCAGCATCAGGTTTAACTGAGTTAACACTGTAAAAACAGTAACGGCCCACAGAGCACCAAGAGCCCACAGACGACAGCTGGAGAACCACTGTCTGAAGTCATCATGCATAAACAAAGGAGCTGGGTTCATCTCACACGCGTTGCATAGTTTTGCCCAAGCCACAGCTAACTGAAACTACTGCTGGGCCGCTAACGCTTATCTGCCTAGCTGGGTTTTTGACTTTTCCAGTAGTATAAACGGCTTCTTTAGCCTACTGAAACTCCAAGGCCACCAACCCAACCACGGGGCGCATCGATGCGTTTTCCAGCTGTGACAAAAACAGACTAGGTTCCTCCTGTTGTACCTGTTTGCCGTGTTTTCAGAATAGCTGCTTGGCTTGCCCTGGGGATGTGCAGGAGCAATGCCATGTCACACGCGGGACAACGAAGGGACCACACACACCAGCAGCCGGGCTCTGCTCCCAGCCTCTGTTAAGCCAAAAAAGTGCTACCTGTCTCTGTGCTTCGGAAAAGCAGCGTTGGGCTGTTGGAAATGCGCTGGGGCGGTCGGCTGCTCCATTCCAGCCCTGAGCATCGGCACAGCTCGATCCACTGTCCCCATGTCGCAGCATAACACACACAGACACAGCCCTCAAAACCCAGACTAGGGCTGTAGTTACCTCTGAATCGTGATGGACCTTAGCAGTAGTGGAGCAAAGATAAATCACGTGAAAAAGAAATGCTTCTAAATAAAGTGGAGTGGAAGGGGACGCACTTAAAAATTTCTAGATCAAAAACCTGTGTTGCTCCTGCTCTCTCCTAGTGGTTGAGATCCAACTTTAAACACAAAAACAGGTATAAAAAGGTCATGGACATCTTTTGTCAGCAGCTTCTGTAAATGACATCAATAAAGTTTAATAAATGAAGTATTTTTCTTCCAATCTGGAAGCAATTAGCCAGGGACAGCTCTCCATCAGCCTGTGGATGACGCCGACTGCTCACCGGAGCTGCCTGACAGCAACAGAAAGTTTCTGTCCCTCTGGTTCGTCACTACAGTCCTCCTTTCTGTATCCTCTAGATGCAGACTCTGCGGAAGGATTTCCATCAGCTCCGCAAGGAGTACGAAACACTGCTGGAAATCCACAGGGAGACGGCAGAAGAGCGGGACAACGTCTGCGCTGAGCTCCAGCGGGTTCAGCACAACTGCACGCCCCAGACGGACTGGGCAAAGTGTTCAGGTGCCAGAAATCTTCAGCGCTGCTTTACCGAAGGCAGCTCACCTCCAAACGCTTTGCTGGGGTGCATTTCTTACCTGGAATGCCCTGGCTTTCTCCAGCAGCCTGAGACAGGGGAGCTTGCGGGCCATTCCATTTTGCCTGAGGCATCTTAGGAGACAAGCCCCACATCTAGGGATCCGTATCCATCCTAAGGCTCCTCGTGGGCTTCACACAAACCAGTACATGTGGGTAGATGCTCCTTTTCCAGCAGCTCCGCGTCTTTTTGCTGTTGCAGAGGTGGTTCCTGGTGGAGCTGAGCGGTGGGGCCGCCTGGCTGAGGGCAAGACCAGCGATCAGCTAGTGGACGTGCTCCTGGAAGAAATCGGGACAGGAGCGCTGAAAGAGATCGATGTCTTCCCCGGACGGGTATGTGCAAGCTTTCTGCTCTGCTTGTTTCCACCCAGATTAATCGGTAATAAATATGCATTAGGAAGGTGGGAGAATTGCTTTCGTGGCTGGCATCTTCAGTGGTCACCTGGCCATTAGTGCAACTACCGAGAACTTTAAAGCTGGGAAAACTCAGGGGCAATAGAACAGCTGATGCTGAGAGTCAGCATCCTGGAGACACAGCCAAAGCAGCCACACTTTCCAGCGATGCCACACGAATCGTGCAGGTGAGCACTGGTGGGCCAGAACCCCTCGCTGACGCTGCACCGTGCGGCTGAGACAAAGGAACAGCTTGGTGCTGCTGCTCAGCCTTCTCCTGTTCCGCAGCCCCTGCTCCCAGCTGCTGGCTGCGGCCATGGGGGAGCATCCCGGGGTTTGGTTTTTCCCAGGTTGTTCCTCTGCTAGTGAGATGAACTCAGACAAGCACTAGCATGACCAAGAGTAACCAAGAGTAAGTAGCAAGGCTGCGTAGTAGGGAATAACTCCTTTTCATGGCATCAGGAAGGTCATTCTCACGCTGACCCATTGCACTGCACCCCTGCACGCGGGGCAATCGGGAGACCACCCAGGGACAAGGACATGTGACAAGGATTCTTCACGCCATACCAAGCATAAGTGTATCCAAAGCTTGTCTCAGGGACAGAGCAGCATTTCTTTGGCTCTTCAGCATCTCCTCCTCGGCCTTTCCAGATGCTTGAACTGTTTGCCCTGCCATTCCTGGAAGTTATTTCTGAGGAAGACCTTTCCTCTTCTGTTCTCACTGGGCAGAACCTCTCACGCAGTCCCGCTTTGCCCAAGGACAAGCTCTGTCAGCTCGCTGCCACTGAAGGAAGGTCCCAGCCCCTCCTCCCCTGCAGCTAGAGTTCCAGCGAAAGCCCTGCGCGGTCGCCGACCTTCCAGCCCAACATGGAGGGCTTCAGCGTCACTCGGCTGTAATAAACAGCTTTTTGACTGCAAATAGGTTACGCTAGCAGTCAGGTATACTCACAGCTGCCTGGACGCAGCAGGGAGGGCATCAGCCAAAGTCACTCGCGAGCGGAGTTTTAAGCAGCGTGGCTGTGGAGAAGGGGCAATGTGGCTGGCGCGGGCCCCAGCCTGAGCACCCCAGAGCTGTGACAGCACGCTGCGGAGCTGCCGACAGATGCATTTTACAGCATTGGCAATGAGACCCGCACAAACAACTCCTTTTCATGACTTGAGATGCTGACAGAATGGCTTCGGCGCTGCGTCGCTGCCAGGGAGGCGAACGTCTGACCTGTATCTGTGTTTCTTTCCCATTGCTTAGGGCAAAGGTGAGGAGGTTCCCGTGTACCTGAGGCACGACGGTGAAGTCAGGAACAAAAAGCTGACCAAGAAGGATGCGGTGAACATCCTAAAGGATGTTTGGAAGGAGAAAATTGCACTAGATCAGCAGGTTTGTCCCCTTTTCCTTCTCCACAAACAGTATTTGCTAGGACAGTCCGTTCAGCTGGGGAAGCCAGGGTCTGGCCCGTGTCCTGCCTAGTGCTTCATCCGCACCGAGCTGCATAAAGCATCATAAGACCACGCTGCCTCAGCTGGCCATGACCCCGCGCCTGGCAGGGCTCTTATGCATGGGTAACTGCAGCAGCCCCGTCCCAGGCCCACAAAGCTTCTCCGGCACCGGCCGAGCGCTCGTGAAGCAGCTGATGCCCAGCCACCGCCGCAGCTTCGGGGATGAATTCCGAGGCATTCAGCAAACTGGAGGTCAGCACCGGTCGCTTTGGCGTCCAGGGCCATGAACTGCAGTGGCCCAGTGGCTGCTGGAAGAGCAGCTGAGCTGCTGGCACAGGCTCCTCTGCAAGGCAGGGTGCCCAGGGCGGGGGGAACCACCGAGCTTCAGCAGTCGCCCTCAGCTACATCAGCCTCACCGACAAGCCCGAGACTTCAGCTCCATCGCCTGCCGCTGCACTGGGACGCGACAGCGCACTGGAGACCAGCACGCCATTGCGACTATGCAGCGTCTGCTCTTGGGCAGTGGAAACCTTGGCAAGATCCATGCAGCCAAAGCAAGGCAGGGTTTTGTTGCTGGGTTGATTTTAACCCGTGCTAATCCGTTACTAAGCTTCATAGCGCTTGTGCCGATGGAAGAGAGGAACAGGTGGCACTGCAGGAAAAATGAGGGGCAAAAAAATTTTATATTGATAAACGAATTAATATAAAAGTGCTTGTTGGGATTGACAGCTAGAGGCCAAGGGGGTGAGGTGTGCGTTCTCTGCCCAGGCAGACATGATGGGGTGCCTCTCTGGGGTGATACAGGACTCAAAGAGAGACTAAAAGTGGCTGTTTAATTGTTCCCACATTAGGGACAAGCATGATGCCATCTCTGCAGGCACCAGCCGAGCCTGTTCCTGTGCCTCGGTCATATGAGAGCAACCCCAAGAGAGACAGAGTCGCTTTACGGGTTTCTTCTCTTGGGCCAGGAGCCTAGAAACAGCTCCAAGATCAGCCCGCAATGGCTTAACGCTGTCTGTGGCAGCGTTTGTTGACTTTCAGCTTGGTTTCGTGGGGAAACGGGGCTGCAGCAATCACTGTCTGGCTCTCTTTTTCTCCCGTAACTGCTTCCATTTCCCAACCCGCAACCCAAGCTCAGCTAAATCTGATGGAGGGAACCTCACAGGGAGCAAGTTCCTACATATTTCACAAAAACAGGTGGCAGAAGAGAGACTTTATCAGTGGTCTCAGCAACAGCAGAGCTTCATTGTAAGCTTACTGGCATTCAGAGAACAAACCTGGGAGGAACATTCTGAATGCTCTGATACCAGGGGGGCTCCAGCCGGCACCAGCACTGTGTCGGCACGGTGCAAGATCCCCACAAGACAGACAGCTGTACCCAAACAGCTGGAATCGGCCAGGCAGATTTGATTTGGCTTCTCATGGGAGGTACTCGCTTCTCATCCGCAGACAGGGAAGCGATCCAGCCTTCCCGAGTTCTTTCTCAGCTACCTGCAGAAGAAGTACGGGGACGCCGCTGCCGTGGAATGGTCCTACAGCCTCCATGAGAACATGCGGCTCTGTCGATCCAACCACGTCCTGAGCTCGTTCCACGCCATACTCACCAGGAAGGTAGGCAACCCCCTTCTCCGAGTAGATCTTCCCCAAAACAGCTTGTGGTCTGTCCCTGCGCAGCATCTGCGGAGGTGAGGATGCAATCTCTGACCTGCGGCACCGTGCCAGCCCCAGCAGCCCTGCTTCTGGCTCCTCCGCACCGTGCCGGAGCTGGAGAGCTCTAGCTGCATGGCCACCTCTTTCCATCTCCTGTACCATGCAGACACATAACCCCCCAGGTCCTCCTACACTCGCCCTC